TTTTCCCTTCCCCCCTTTCTCTCCCCCCTCCTCTTTTTCCCCTTTTTCCATCCCCCCCCCCAAAACCCTTTATTTTACATTTCGGTGGGAAGAGAGGAAGAGGGAAAAACACATGCATATGTAACGAGCACCAGCCAAAATATTCAGGAGACATATTCATATATTCAATATCCCTCTCAGCCAAACCCACACAGAAAAAAAGTGAACAAATGACACCGGTAGTGCACTACATTGTGACCCTATATAGTAGTGCACCATAAAATAGCTCCAAGGGGATCTGTACTGAACTGCAGCTGACCCTGTGCCCCTCCTCAAAATGTGTATTGTATCTTGTGGTAGCAAAGCTCAAGACAACATTTCTGTCTCACCAAAGCTAGACAAGATAAAGTAATATTCTATTCTATTTCATTTTATATGGGGAATAGAGTGTCATCTGGGATGCGTTCCACCATACCTGTCTGCAGGACCTCCCGGTCTGACGTATGTCACCACTAGGGGGCGTGATTTGTTCCAGTCTTCGTGTGAGCCCCCTGAAACGTCACATAAAACAGACCACTTGAGGAAGTGGTTTTTTGGTAATACAGTCTCACATCACTTTTAATAGGGCATTTACCTAACAAACGTCTGCATAAAAACATTGTCAACCAATAAAAGGTAGCTATGTGTCGAAGTATCGGAATGTGTAGTCCTATTATTTATTTTACTCTGTTTCGCTTAATGCTTTCTGACACTAACAGCTAAAAAGAATCTTCCATGCTAACTGTGCAGTTCATCTTGGATTGATTTCCCTACAGCCTAAATGACTCAGTCTTTTATATGGGCTGTGGATGGCATTGTTAGGAAATTAGCTATTCCAATTGGGGGAGACTGTTGAGACTGCTGAGGCTAGCTTTTTGAGTGTGCTTCTTTATGGGTCAACTGTGACTGGAACATAATCAAATGAACCAGTAGAGGACAAGAGGAAACAGGTGCCAGGATCTGTTTAATGATTGTATAGGCTACGTCCCAAAGGACACCATTTTGTGTGGGTGGGGAGGGGGGTGTATGTCGGGGTGATATTCTATGTATGTTGTGTCAATTGATTCTATGTATTTATGTGGAAGCAGCAGCACACTTTATTGTCCAAGTCAAATTTCCCCTCGGGGACAATAAAGTATATTGTATCGTATCGTATCCTTACAAAGTGCAATACTCTTGACGAGAGCTCTATGGCCCTGGTCAAAAGTAGTGCACTACATAGGGAATAGGGTGCAATTTGGGACGCAACCCTGTGTAATGAATGCATAGTCCAGTACCTCTCATGACGAAGCCGAAGCTGGTCCCTTCTTTTTGCAAACATATCTCGATTGTCTTGGAAATCACACCTGATGTACTGTCTGGTGCTGGAGGGGAGGAGAGAGGGAGGAGAGAGAGAGAGAGAGGAGGAAGAGAGAGGAGGAAGAAGAGAGGAGGAGAGAGAGAGAGAGAGGGAGAGGAGAGGGGAGAGAGAGGCGAGACCGGAGAGGAGAGGAGAGAAGAGAGAGAGAGGAGAGGAGAGAGAAGAGAGCGATTATATAGAGATTAGCGGAGAGAAAGGAGAGGCAAGAGGGATAAGGAGAGATCGAGAGGTACCGAGGAATGGGTACATGGGAGTGAGAGGCCTATGACATGATGTCACTGCCGTTAAATCAAAGGTTTTTTACTGGGGCGCGTTTCCCAGTAACCGACGGACAGCAATGAATTAAATAGACAGAACATTATTACAAATCTGTAATTTGGCCCCAGTTGTCAAGAACTACAGGCCCCAGTTATCCGCTATAGCCTAGGGTTTTACCTGCTCAGGTCACGTGGTCTGCCAGTATGATATCAGGGTTGCAAGTAAGACATCTCTGTGTGTTCCCCGATCTGCCATTCTAGTAAAACAGACATTTAAACACAGCCACTTGAACTTTACAAGCCTAACCGATTCTGCCTGACCTCACAGATTTGTAATAATGTTCTGTCTATTTATCATTGCTGTCCGTCGGTTACTGGGAACGAGCCCAGTAAAACCTGTGATTTAACGGCAGTGACATCATTCATATGCCTCTCACTTGCTGTACCATTCTGTATTTCTCTGTACCTCTCTCTCTCTATGTAGTACTTGATAACTGGGGCCTGTTGTACCTGATAACTGGGGCCTGTTGTACCTGATAACTTGGGCCTGTAGTACCTGATAACTGGGGCCTGTTGTACCTGATAACTGGGGCCTGTTGTACCTGATAACTTGGGCCTGTTGTACCTGATAACTGGGGCCTGTTGTACCTGATAACTGGGGCCTGTTGTACCTGATAACTGGGGCCTGTTGTACCTGATAACTGGAGCTGTTGTACCTGATAACTGGGGCCTGTAGTACCTGATAACTGGGGCCTATAGTACCTGATAACTGGGCCCTGTTGTACCTGATAACTGGGGCCTGTTGTACCTGATAACTGGGGCCTGTTGTACCTGATAACTGGGGCCTGTTGTACATGATAACTGGAGCTGTTGTACCTGATAACTGGGGCCTGTAGTACCTGATAACTGGGACCTGTAGTACCTGATAACTGGGCCCTGTTTTACCTGATAACTGGGGCCTGTTGTACCTGATAACTGGGGCCTGTTGTACCTGATAACTGGGGCCTGTTGTACCTGATAACTGGGGCCTGTAGTACCTGATAACTGGGGCCTGTTGTACCTGATAACTGGGGCCTGTTGTACCTGATAACTGGGGCCTGTTGTACCTGATAACTGGGGCCTGTTGTACCTGATAACTGGGGCCTGTTGTACCTGATAACTGGGGCCTGTAGTACCTGATAACTGGGGCCTGTAGTACCTGATAACTGGGGCCTGTAGTACCTGATAACTGGGGCCTGTTGTACCTGATAACTGGGGCCTGTTGTACCTGATAACTGGGGCCTGTTGTACCTGATAACTGGGGCCTGTTGTACCTGATAACTGGGGCCTGTTGTACCTGATAACTGGGGCCTGTTGTACCTGATAACTGGGGCCTGTTGTACCTGATAACCGGGCCTGTAGTACCTGATAACCGGGGCCTGTTGAACCTGATAACCGGGGCCTGTTGTACCTGATAACTGGGGCCTGTTGTACCTGATAACTGGGGCCTGTTGTACCTGATAACTGGGGCCTGTTGTACCTGATAACTGGGGCCTGTTGTACCTGATAACTGGGGCATGTTGTACCTGATAACTGGGGCCTGTTGTACCTGATAACTGAGGCCTGTAGTACCTGATAACTGGGGCCTGTTGTACCTGATAACTGGGGCCTGTTGTACCTGATAACTGGGACCTGTTGTACCTGATAACTGGGGCCTGTAGTACCCGATAACTGGGGCCTGTTGTACCTGATAACTGGGGCCTGTTGTCCCTGATAACTGGGGCCTGTTGTACCTGATAACTGGGGCCTGTTGTACCTGATAACTGGGGCCTGTAGTACCTGATAACTGGGGCCTGTTGTACCTGATAACTGGGGCCTGTTGTACCTGATAACTGGGGCCTGTTGTACCTGATAACTGAGGCCTGTAGTACCTGATAACTGGGGCCTGTTGTACCTGATAACTGGGGGCCTGTTGTACCTGATAACTGGGGCCTGTTGTACCTGATAACTGGGGCCTGTTGTACCTGATAACTGGGGCCTGTTGTACCTGATAACTGGGGCCTGTTGTACCTGATAACTGGGGCCTGTTGTACCTGATAACTGGGGCCTGTTGTACCTGATAACTGGGGCCTAGACTAAGAAAAAGAGAAAGCCTCCACCAATCAACCATCTATCAATCAAATGAACCTGCTCGTACCTGAAGGAGGCAGTTCGTACTCTACTTCCAGCACCACTCGTTCTCCCACGTTCTTCAACAGACTGATGATCTCTTCATGTCTCAGCTTGGTCAGGTTGATACCATTCACTGACTTTATGTAGTCGCCGACGTTCAACTGATCACTCCTATTAGACAGGATCATAAAGCCATACAGTATTATCAATATGATATTCATAGATCCTGCCTTTCATTAAACCTTTAGGCTTCAGGATCAACGACAGATAAATAACATGGCGTTGGTTCAAATCTACAATCCTATATATAATTTCAAATCAATACTTTCATAATCAATAACAATCAAACTCTGTAGTATGGCAACTATAAAATAAGATTTGTTTTCTTCTGTATGTCTTCTACGTGGCTTTCTACAGAGAGTCAACATATGTTCATTTAGATGGTAATTAGGAATGTTATTTATTTTCTCTCCCCCTTGGGCACATACACACACACACACACACACACACACACACACACCCTTGGGCCTCGGCAATTTGGCACAATGATGCCTGACAAAAATATATTACCAACTCAGCAGCAGTCTCCTCGCTCCAGGGAGAAAACACATTTCAGGACAAGCTTTCTATTTCATATATTCTACAACACAACATTCTGGTTCCATTATATTCTACAACACAACATTCTGGTTCCATTATATTCTACAACACAACATTCTGGTTCCATTATATTCTACAACACAACATTCTGCTTCCATTATATTCTACAACACAAGATTCTGGTTCCATTATATTCTACAACACAACATTCTTGTTCCATTATATTCTACAACACAACATTCTTGTTCCATTATATTCTACAACACAACATTCTGGTTGCATGTTCCACACAGACAAACGGATAGGACCAGAGAGAGTTATATTTTTTATTTTTGGCCCATCCACCAGACAGAGTTAATCGATGCGTTCCTTGTTGGTTGTGAGTGAGTGCCAGATAGATAACTTTTGGTTTGAAGTATTGAAGGCAGACTCCACCGGAAAATGGTTTTTGATGTTGTGTTTCTTATAATAGGATTGTGAGGTAGAGCGGTAGGTAGAAAGATAGTTTTAATGGAAGAGAGCTTGTCAACAAGTAGAGAATGTCAATCAAATACCACATGTTGCAAAGCCCTCTCCTCTGCTACTGTTCCAAAAAATAAAGGACATGTTTGAAATATAGTTACATTTACATCATTTAGCAGACACTCTTATCCAGAGCGACTTACAGTTAGTGAGTGCATACATTATTTTTTTAATACTGGCCCCCCGTGGGAATCGAACCCACAACCCTGGCGTTGCAAACGTCATGCTCTACCAACTGAGCTACATCCCTGCCGGCCATTCCCTCCCCTACCCTGGGCCAATTGTTCGCCGCCGCACGGCCGGCTACGACAGAACCTGGATTCGAACCAGGATCTCTAGTGGCACAGACCACTGCGCCACTCGGAAGTAGTTCTACCTACTGTATAGAGAATAATAATCTGATCAGACCCTACACCCAAACGAGGGCACTACTTTCATCCACCTCTGGCCTGCTAGCTCCCCTACCTCTACGGAAGCACAGTTCCCGCTCAGCCCAGTCAAAGCTATTCGCTGCTCTGGCACCCCAATGGTGGAACAAGCTCCCCCACGACGCCAGGACAGCGGAGTCACTGACCACCTTCCGGAGACACTTGAAACCCCTACCTCTTTAAGGAATACCTGGAATAGTATAAAAGTAATCCTTCTTCCACCACCCCCCATAAACATTTTTTTTTTAAAGATGGTTGTCCCACTGGCTATCATAAGTTGAATGCACCAATTTGTAAGTCGCTCTGGATAAGAGCGTCTGCTAAATGACGTAAATGTAAATGTAAATGTTGGAAATGGAAACATAAAGAAAGCTCCTTTGATGCTACTCCTAAATGAGAACTTCTCACTCACCCACCGGCATTAAAGTGATGCCAGATACACATGGTGACAGATCTCCAGATACACATGGTGACAGATCTCCAGATACACATGGTGACAGATCTCCAATGCCAACAGGCTATTATACTGCAATATAGGAGTCTCACACATTAGTGTCTAAACACAGCTACTGTGAGACGACACACATGTGAGAATTAATACTGCTTTGTCGGTACATTGCTAATTCAGCTAATATAGTATCAGCATTAAATATGCCAGTCATGAGTAAAATTGAGACTTTTACATGTCCCACTTTCTTTATTCAGAATCAGACGGCTTTGGATAAAAAGCCACTTCTAAATAAATGGTCCAGCTAAGGCTAAAGCACGTCAAGTACAACTTGCAGAGCAGCTAAACTGTAAGTCTCCTTGGGGCGAAAGCCTTCTTTAAAAGCCAAACAGGTCAGTCAGTAGCCCAAGCCCATAATGCCCGAAGACCAAGACTCGGTGCCTATATTTAGCATCATCATCCAAAGTCCTTAGATATTGTCTCAAATGACACCCTATTCCCTATATAGTGCACTGCTTTGGACCAGAGCCCTGTGTGGGGGATAGGATGCTATTTGGGACGGATCCCTCGTTTTGGAAATCTGCCCCTAGTGAAATGAAATGTCAGGTGGTTCCTCCTACATCAGGGCCTGATACAGCGTGACTACGGTTTCATACCAAATGGCACCTTATTCCCTATGTAGGGCACTACGTTTGACCAGGGTCCATAGTACAGTAGTGTGCTATGTAGGGGAAAGGGTGCCATTTGGGACTCAGCATGGGTCAGAGGCTGTGAATGGTGGCTGAGGGGATGGAGGTCTAGGCACTAGGAAGGGAAGATGAAGTCTGCATCCATCCACATTGAGTAAGCATGAGGCGATGGAGGTCTGGCAGAACTGAAGGACAATTGTCCTTTTATGAAATATACACTGGACTGTACAAAACTAATATTGAGTTGCACTGAAGTGGATTTAACAGGTGACATCAATAAGGGACCATAGCTTTCACATGGATTCACCTGGTCAGTCTGTGTCATGGAAAGGGCAGGTGTTCCTAATGTTTTGTACACTCAGTCTATGTTTAATGGGCAATAAAGATTTCTAGCCTATTCTAGGCAGAGAACATGTAGTCCTGTCCTCCGTATAGTGTTCTGGTCGAGAAAGCTCAAGTCAGGGTTGACCCCTCTCTCTCTTCTCTCTTGATGTGTTTGCTTGCTTGGCAGTTAAATAAAGGTTCAATAAAATAAAAAAAATAAATTGCTTGCATATCTCATACCCTCATGAAATACTTTCACAAAAAAAAAAAGTAAATACATCAATGTTCACAAAAAAAAAGAAATCTCACCTGGCAGCCAGACCCCCCGGACGTAGGTTAGAGACACGGGGCTTTCCATCCTTGTCGGTTCCTCCAGAGATGGTGAGGCCCAAGGTGCTGCCTTCCTTCTTTATCAGCTCTACTATCGTCACGCCCCGCAGATCTTCTACCCCAAACAGGAACACACATAGCACACACAGACACAGTCAATAATAGTATTGATTATATAGTATCCAAGCCTTCACAACCACAAGGACACTTAGGCTGCATTTACACAGGCAGACAAATTCTGATCTTTTTTTTAAATAATTGGTCTTTTGACCAATCAGATCAGCTCTGTTTCCAATTATTTACATTTTAGTAATTTAGCAGACGCTCTTATCCAGAGCGACTTACAGTTAGTGAGTGCATACATTTTTCATACTGAAAACCCTGGCATTGCAAGCGCCATGCTCTACCAACTGAGCTACAGGGGATGATCAGAATTGGCCATAGAACCACAGGAACCACTGAGTCAATAGATAGTTAGTATATATCAGCTCTTCTACCCGAAAACACAACCAAGATTCAATGGTTATATATTAGCATAGTAAGCTTTCTCAGTATTTATTGTTGCTCTAATGACTAGGAACAGGAGTTTTTCCCGACCGTCTTCCACACAATCTTTCTCTACAATCGTCTTCTCGTTTGGCCCAATAGTCACAATGAATATTTAGTGAACTTTCCATATATAACTCAATGGCATTCACTGTGTATGGTACAAAAGAGATACACCAGCGGTCAAAGGTTTTAGAACACCTACTCATTCAAGGGTTTTTCTTTATTTTTACTATTTTCTACATTGTAGAATAACAGTGAAGACATCAAAATGATGAAATAACACATACGGAATCATGTAGTAACCAAAATAGTGTTAAACAAATCAAAATATATTTTATATTTGAGATTCTTCAAATAGCCACCCTTTGCTTTGATGACAGCTTTGCACACTCTTGGCATTCTCTCAACCAGTTTCACCTGGAATGCTTTTCCAACAGTCTTGAAGGAGTTCCCACATACGCTGAGCACTTGTTGGCTGCTTTTCCTTCACTCTGCGGTCCAACTAATTTTAAACCATCTCAATTTATCTCAATTTGGTTGAGGTCGGGGGATTGTGGAGGCCAGGTCATCTGATGCAGCACTCCATCACTCTCATTATTGGTCAAATAGCCCTAAAATAGCCCTTACACAGCCTGGAGGTGTGTTGGGTCATTGTCCTATTGAAAAACAAATTAAAGTCCCACTAAGCCCAAACCAGATGGGATGGCGTATCGCTGCAGAATGCTGTGGTAGCCATGCTGGTTAAGTGTGCCTTGAATTTGAAATAAATCACAGACAGTGTCACCAGAAAAGCACCCCCACACCATAACACCTCCTCCTCCATGCTTTATGGTGGGAAATACACATGCAAAGATCATCCGTTCACCCACACCGCGTCTCAGAAAGACATGGCGGTTGGAAACTAAAATTTCCAATTTGGACTCCAGACCAAAGGACACATTTCCACCGGTCTAATGTCCATTGCTCATGTTTCTTGGACCAAGCAAGTCTCTTCTTCTTATTGGTGTCCTTTAGTAGGGGTTTCTTTGAAGCAATTCGATCATGAATGCCTGATTCACAAAGTCTCCTCTGAACAGTTGATGTTGTGATGCGTCTGTTACCTGAACTCTGTGAAGCATTTCTTTGGGCTGCAATTTCTGAGGCTGGTAACTCTAATGAACTTATCCTCTGCAGCAGAGGTAGCTCTGGGTCTTCCATTCCTGTGGCGGACCTCATGAGAGCCAGTTTCATCATAGCGCTTGATGGTTTTTGCGACTGCACTTGAAGAAACTTTCAAAGTTCTTGAAATGTTCCATATTGACTGACCTTCATGTCTTAAAGTAATGATGGATTGTTGTTTCTCTTTGCTTATTTGAGCTGTTCTTGCCATAATATGGACTTGGTCTTTTACTAAATAGGGCTATCTTCTGTATACCCCCTTCGGATTTGTTGTTTTGAAAGTGTATTGGGAAGTTCTTAGTAGCTAGCTAACTTTTTAGTTTGGATCCCGCGACACAGTTGGCATCAGTTGCTGGGATTGCTAGTCTCTGTCCAGTGATCCTGCCGACCAAGGATGGGTCTCAGGAGCTATTTGGCGTTGCAGCTAGACTAGCTGCTAGCTAACAGCATATCAAGCTAGCGGGGCTTTCTAGTTGAGGGCTTGAACGCAGCCCGCGACGCGGTTAGCCATTGTGGCTGGGACCGCGGATTGTCCCGGGTTTGTTGCTGTCTAGATCCCTGCTGTTTGTTGTTTTCAATCTTCCCTATGACTTGCCCTTTCTGGAACTGCGAGGAGTAACAGCGTAACCTACGTTGCCAGCTACCATGACAAAGACCAAAGCCGGCAGGAGTACCATTGTCGAGGACAGTGGTGTCTCTCTATCACACGTGAAGGATCTTTTAAACAAACAAAAATAGTTCTACAAGCACATGAAACCTGGACGGATGTCTGAGGACAAAGTGAGGGAAATGATCTCTGAGAAATTGAAGATGGCCATAGGAAGATTGAGGAGGAGCGCGCCCACAGGACTGGAAAACCCACCACCGGCCCAGGTGACAGGCCCATGCCGATAGCGGTCAAGTTCCTGAGGTTCAAGGACAAGGTAGCTGTTCTGGAAAGAGCCAAGAACTTGAGAGGAACGTATTTCTTTCTCAACGAGGACTATCCTGAAGCTGTGCGCCAGAAGAGGAAAGAACATGACATGACATCCCAGACATGAAAACTGCCAGAGCGCGTGGGGGCATTGCTTACATCCGCTATGACAGGCTCATTGTCCATCCTCCCTCCCAGAAGCCTGGAAGGGATGAGAAAGCCAAGCCTATGGGTTCGTAGCTTCAACCCCGCAGCACACACACACACTTACACACACCAACTGATAAATGGACTGCTGAATGTATATTTTTTTCTCTTGCTTTGTTTGCTCTTTTCAGTATTATCTCTATCTCTGATAAGCTACCCATGAAAGGGCTGAAAATAGCCCATATTTATATATGTAGCCTTAGAAATAAGGTTCATGAAATCAATAACTTGCTAACATCAGATAACATTCATATACTGACCATCTCTGAAACTCACTTAGATAATTAATTTGATGATACAGCAGTTGCAATACAAGAATATAACATCTATAGAAGAGACAGATATGCTTATGGGGGAGGTGTTACTGTATATATTCAGAGTCATATCACTGTAACGCTTAGAGAAGATCTTATGTCAAGTGTTTTTGAAGTGTTGTGGTTGCAGGTTCACTTGCCACATCTAAAGCCTTTTCTTTTGGGGTGTTGCTATAGGCCACCAAGTGCGAACAATCAGTATCTAAATAATATGTGTGAAATGCTTGATAGTGTATGTGATGTAAACAGAGAGGTCTACTTTCTTGGGGACCTGAATATTGACTGGTTTTCATCAAGCTGTCCGCTCAAGAGGAAGCTTCTTACTGTAACCAGTGCCTGTAATCTGGTTCAGGTTATTAATTAACCTACCAGGGTGTTGACAAACACTACAGGAACAAGATCATCCACATGTATTGATCACATTTTTACTAATACTGTAGAACTTTGTTCTAAACCTGTATCCGTACCCATTGGATGCAGTGATCACTATATCCAGGAAAGCCAAAGTTCCAACAGCTGGGCCTAAAATAGTGTATAAGAGATCATACAAAATATTTTGCTGTGACTCACATGTGGATGATGTAAAAAGTATTTGTTGGTCTGATGTGATTAATAAGGAGCATCCAGATGCTGCACTTTATGAATTTATGAAATTGCTTCTTCCAATTATTGATAAACATGCACCTGTTAGGAAACTGATTGTTAGAACTGTTAAGGCTCCATGGATTGATGAGATATTGAAAAACTGTCTGGTTGAAAGAGATGGGGCAAAAGGAGTGGCTAATAAGTCTGGCTGCACATCTGACTGGCTGACTTACTGCAAATTGAGAAATTATGTGACTAAACTCAACAAAAAGAAGAATAAACTGTATGAAGTCAATGATATAAAGAATGATGGAAAAAAAAAAAACTTTGAAGTACTTTAAATGAAATTAAGGGCAGAAAGACAAATTCAACTCCATCTTTCATCAAATCAGATGGCTTATTCGTCACAAAACCATTTGATGTTGCCAATTATTTTAATGATTACTTCATTGGCAAAGTGAACAAACTTAGGCAGGAAATGCCAACAATGAACAGTGAGCCATTGTATTCATGCATAAAAAAAACAAATAATGAAAGAAAAGCATTGCAAGTTTGAGTTTTGTAAAGTTAGTGTGGGAGAGGTGGAAAGATTATTGTTATCGATCAATAATGACAAACCTTTTGGCATTGACAACGTAGATGGAAAGCTACTGAGGATGGTAGCTGACTCTATAGCCACTCCTATCTGTCAAATCTTTAATCTGTGCCTAGAGGAAAGTCTTTGTCCTCAGGCTTGGAGGGAAGCCAAAGTAATTCCGCTACCCAAGAATGGTAAAGCGGCCTTTACTGGTTCTAACAGCAGACCTATAAGCTTGCTGCCAGCTCTTAGCAGACTTTCAGCATGCTTATAGGGAAGGGCACTCAACATGCACTGCACTGACACAAATGACTGATGATTGGTTGAAAGAAATTGATAATAATAAGATTGTGGGAGCTGTACTGTTAGATTTCAGTGCAGCCTTTGATATTATTGACCATAACCTGTTGTTGAAAAAACATATGTGTTATGGCTTTTCAACCTCTGCCATATCGTGGATTCAGAGCTATCTATCTAATAGAACTCAAAGAGTTTTCTTTAATGGAAGCTTCTCTAATGTCAAACATGTAAAGTGTGGTGTACCACAGGGCAGCTCTCTAGGCCCTCTACTCTTTTCTATTTTTACCAATGATCTGCCACTGGCATTAAAGAAAGCATGTGTGTCCATGTATGCTGATGATTCAACCATATACGCATCAGCAACCACAGCTAATGAAGTCACTGAAACCCTTAACAAAAAAAAAAACTGGTCCTGAACATCTCTAAAACTAAGAGCATTGTATTTGGTACAAATCATTCCCTAAATTCTAGACCTCAGCTGAATCTGGTAATGAATGGTGTGGCTGTTGA